TAAAAGCATTTGCGGAAAATCATGTCAGTCTAGACGCAGACCAAGTGTTTGGAGAAGGATAGACTGCAATACTGAGTAACTGAACAAGATATCAAAACCCCCAAGACTGCGTGGATAATATTAAGGGTCCTATTCTTCCGATGCAGGATAATCAATGAGAGTTCCTTGGGCTGTACTTTGGAAAAACAGGAGAAGCAACTATGAATTTAAGCCTTTCTGTTTCTGCCACTGTGTTAATAAAGCTGCTGATCTGAGTTTGCTTCCTGGTCAATATACCTGCTTCTTAGCAAGGGAGCCATAGACTCTTTTAGTAAAGTCACTCGACTGTAAATGGCAGTAGTCAACTTGGGGTTCTGATCCCAGTCCAGCCACAGGATTGGGCATACTACTTCACCTCTTTGTACTTCAGTTTCCTAATCTGCAAATGGGGATAATGTTGGCCTACTTCATAAAGATATGAAGAAAAACTCATTAATGAACACAAGGTTGATTCTAGCATGAAGTGCCAGAGAAAAGTCTATTTAATAATAAAATTCTAGTAAATGGTGGCAAACAGGGACATCTGCTCCCCAAATAGTGAATCGTACTTAGATGACAACATGGAAAATGAACTTGCATGTGTGTATCAGGAAACTTTTATTATACTAGCAATTTCCAATTTGTTTTATGAAAGGAACAGACCTCATTTTTGGTATTTATATTAGCTGAAGTAATACTAATACAGTAACAATGACATCAGTACCGATTTTATATATGTCCTATTAACTAATTTCAAGACTAATGGAAATAATAATACAATAGAGAAAATACAGGCGACAAAAGATGGCATCACTAGAAATTAAATATTGTCTGCCATAGCATACCATATAGCTACTATCAAAATTGGTCATAAAATTAAATATAAATGCCATCGAACTTAGGTGAAGATAAAGTTTTAGAAGTTAGATCCTAGCTAAGAGCCAAATTTGTTGATATCAATGAAGTTTCATCCCTCCTTACATGTGCATTTTGTCTGTATTTCATTGTGTTATGATGTACAGCCCCTGATTCTTGCTTTCTCTCTCTTTTATGGGGCAAGGGATATTAAAATAGCTGCCTCTGAAATGGAACTTAAATGGGAGCTGAGCTATTCTGGAAAAATCTGACCCCCTTTTTTAAAATTCTGGCCTATAGGCATAGTTTAAGAAATTCCCAAACAAAACAAACAAGCAAATGAAAACAAAAACTCTGCTTTCCTGGCTCTTTGTATAAATCAGTACACAAAAGCATATCATGATCCCATAAAGAGATGGGCAGGATCCCCTTTGTGTGTGTGTGTGTGTGCGTGCGTGCACATGCACAAGTCTATGTGTATACAGTCACACATTCAGTGCAAACCTTTTACCTCTCCTAACATCTGAGAAAGGAACTGGAATGTGAATATTTTGGAAAATGTTCAAAGCTGGTTTTCTGTGTGAGTAAACAAAGCGCTAAGTGGTGCCAGATTTTCTGTCCATTGAGCAGTACAGTTGAACACAGGGAATTTTCTTGAAGCCATTTCAAGATACCTGTCTGTCTTTATGTGTGTGAAGAAAGGAAAGGAAAGGAAAGGAAAGGAAAGGAAAGGAAAGGAAAGGAAAGGAAAGGGGGGATATTGATAGGACAAACATGAATAGTAACTCTCTTCTTTGGTATTAAAGCATAAAGAGTGCATTAATTATTATTGAATCAAGCCAGATGTTTAAAACTAAGCTGTTAATTTAGATGAATGTCATATCAAACATTGTAGGTCAAAAAAGAATCATTGAAATCATGCCTGTACACAGGGCTGAACGGTGTGTACAAAATGTGAAAAAATGTATTCTGTTATGTAGTTATAACAACTATAGACTGTTCCCAGACTTTCTGCACATTCTGTATTCACTGATACCTACAGAACAGACACAGTATGATGTCTATAAAATTATAAAAACAGAACTAAAATGATCATCATTTAAAAGAGAAAACTTGCCAATATGTACTACACAGCACTACCCAAAATACAAAATTTCTCCTCTGCTCTTAGTAGTAAATAATTGTGGTATTTTAGATACCATTCTACACAAATTGTTGGGAAACAGTGATTTTTAATGGTAACAATGGCATATACTGTTGGAGAACTTATAATTAAAAGATTATTTATTGACATTTAGATTTGTCTGTTCACACAACAGCTTGTGGTATTTATTAAAAATAGAGTCCAACATAGTTAAGATAATCCAAATTTTCTTTTTTCTGCCTTTGAATACCAGTAATGAAAATGGCACGATGTTAAATCATAAATCACTAACTACAGATACTGTGTCAGAAACCCCTTATCGTCTATTATTTACATTAGAGTTAACCTGAGATTCTTTTTAGACAAGATAGATCAGCCTGAAACATATGAAAGCTGTGAGATTCCTTGTGGTACTTGATTTTTTTGTCCCTACAGATATAGGAGTCCATTAAGGTTAAGCTGGGGGAATAAATATCTGAATAACTCTAAAATCACTCATAGAAGAAAGATGCCACAACAACAATCTATATTTAAAATTAAACTACTAAATGATTATTCTTATAATTGCATTTACATTAATCAAGGACATGGTTATGTAAAAATTTCTGTTTTATCTAGGAAAAAGTTTATACTGTATCTTTAATAGAATTATCAATCAAAACACTAAGGGCCTGATTCTCTATTAATGACTTGTAATTTTATAGGTGCAACTCATACCTACAATTAGTGAGCTAGCAATAGGTAGAAGTTTGACATCTAACTACCTGAGGTGCACATGTAACTTATTAAAACTAGAGATTGGTTTGACCTTTTCCTGAAAATGATGCCTGAGGAATACAATCCTAAATTCCTGCTCGGACAAAACTCCTGTTTATGTCAATGTGTGTTATCCTTAAGTAAAAAGTTCAGTGGGACTACTCGTATGCTAAAGAATGTGTAGGATCAAGATTTTGACCTTTAGTAACTAATATGTCTAGTGTTAACAATAAAAAAACCTTGTTTATAAATTAGTGTTACGTTGCTGATACACATTTTAAATCCTTTAATAATAGTTAACTTTCAAATTAGCATATACATTTATGAAAATATGGTTTAATTTTAACTTGCTTTGAGTGTTAAATATATTTTTTTCATATTATCCTGGATGCAATTCCCTCTGAAGTTGATGAGAATTGCAGTAACTTAAGCTACAGATGAGTTTGTCATATAATGTTTTTATATATATCATTAAAATGTTTTTGATGGTATCTTATGCAGATCCATCATGTATTTATTATAGAATAACCTACAGGAATGTTTCTTAATCAAACAGACTTAAAATTACAAAATAATAATAATAAATAAAAACTTCTCAATTTAAACCCCTAAATGAGCACAACTTGGGTCTTTTGAACCTGGAATATAATCTTGGGGAAAACCTTTCCTATAGCTGTGAAGTGTTTTGAACTCTATATTCAGCTTGGTCTAAAATAAATCATCTTCCAAACAAATAGAGACTTTGAGCACTGACTGGCATTCCAAACCAGTCTGTGTAGGTTAAATAAAAAGGACACATATCAATTAAGAAGATTAAATAAGGGGATGATGGAGGTTATTTTACAAAGAAACAAATGGTGTTTTGGTTTTGCCTTTTTTGAATTATATTTCCAATTAAAAATGCAAAATACTAAATACCATTACAAAGACAAATAGGAAAGTACAACTTCATTGCTGAAAACAATTTCCCTTCTATCAATCTGAGGATTCATGCATCAATATTGTAGATGAACTGTTAATTACAAAATCAATTAAAAAATTATTTCTAAAAACAGTCACGCGTCCTGACTCTCAGGGGGGCAATTTGGGCAGAAGGTCTCATCTCACTAGGACCGCGCCAAATCACAAGTCGTCATCCACAAGTAAGCAAAAGCAATCTGGTTTTTCATTTTTCAGCGCGGCTGAGCCCAGCCTGAGATTGATCGTCACATATGGCCCCAGAAAACAAACTGTCAATACCTTGAATGCTGCAGAATTTGAACAAATAGCCGTCCGCCCATTCAAGCCACTCATTGCATCCCATTTAACAGATTTTATTGACAGTTTCCTTCTTGTAATTAAAGGGAAAACTACTGGCTAGCAACCAAGATAAAGTTCAAAGATAGGGTCAAAACAAAAGCAGATGGAGGGGCACGGTGTGACTGTCAATGGTACATAGCATCAGAGCACGTTATTGACACCCAGGTATCTAATGATCGGCACGTCATTAAAGAGGGATCTATCCTGAACTTTATGCAAATGATAAAAGGGACTTAAGACTATAATAAAGCATTAGGGAGACACAAAAGGAAAACAACAAAGCACAAACGATTTTTACTTATCAGACACCGTTCACTGCTTCAGCACTTTTATGTTCAAATTCAGAGGAAAAAATACTTTCTGCAAATCTTAACACCTTCTGGATAGATAATATCTTTTAGTGAAACTTTATCACATGAATTCTCTATATTATGGTAAAGCGTAGTCCTTGTAAAATGAAACAGGGATTCTCCCCCACCCACAACCAACACTGAGTTCACCTTACCAATACATTTAATGTCTGCATTCAAGGAAATCATATAATGCATAGTCAGGCATCCATCCACTCTATTCAGTTTAAGTGAAATTATTAGTCTTATTTGGATTATAAAATGGATTTAGTAGAGCATATTCATATTCATGTGAAAGGATCGCTGCTTGTGTAATACCATCCAAATTGTCCCATGTATTATTCTTTACTGCATTAGGAATATGTTCCACAATGGCTTAACACTGTGAAGAACCTCCTTAACTTGAGCTGTCTTGTGTGTAGCCTTTCCATATAAGAGCCCACAAGTAACTGAAAATGCAATTAAGAATTACTCATTCCTAAACATTGTTTAGAATAACCATGCAGAAGATACTACGGGTAAAGAAAGGGAAAAGGGACATAAAAAAAATGTAGCAACCATCATGAGAAACTGCCAACCTGAATTAGCAAGCGCTATGGCTTTGAGGGTGACAAACTCTTCTTTCTCCAACTTCATGCTCTTGTATTTCTTTACCAGCTGCAGGATGGCATTGTTGAGGTCAAGAAGGCCTGCTAATTTAGACTGGTCTTCATCCATAATGTAATCTTCAGCATAGACAAGCTCATCCTCAAAAGAAAGTGACCGGTAAACTACGCCCAGAATCAGAATCTCCATCCAAGCACTCTGTAAAAGGCTCATCTGGTCAGCCAGAGACAAAGTGGAGAATCCTAAACAGCAAAAAAAAGGGAAGGGAAAAATATTAAATATGTTCAAATGCTCCATAACTCTGTATTACAACTTTTCATTTTTGTTTGTTTTTTTGGTATAAGTTATGAATCAATACATATGGATTCCACTCTCCCCCTCTGCAAGATCAATCAGCATAAAATTAAAGGATTTCTAATCAAGGCAAAAGTTAGAAGCAAGCCTGAATTTGTATGCATTTTCTGTGGGAGTTATATTAATTCTGAGGAGTTATAAACAGCAACATACAATGGTTTGCACTTTCTCTCTCAGTAGAAACATTCTATAATCTATTGCTATGAAGCTCTGATCTGATGGCAGCTAAGTTAGAAGATAAAAACCGAGGTTTGAAGGGCTTTTATTAGAAGACACTTACCTCTGTTCATCACTACCGTAAAGAGAATGAACTAATGTCTTCAGAGGCCCCCTTTAAATCAAGGAGCATGTTTAAAAAAAAAACTTTTTTAAGAGGAAAGATTTTATGCTTTAATAGAATTAAGGTGATTATCACAATGAGCAAAGAGCGCTTTGAACTTCAACCTCAGCAGAACGAGAAGTAAGGCCTACCCTCTTCAGAATAGACGCTAATTACTTCTGTAATGGCTTCTGCCTCTACTACGGCTGCTGAAATAACAGGATGACACATTAAAGTGGCAAGTGAATAGTAATCACACCATCATTTTTGAGAGGGAGAGAGAAAATTTAATAATGCCTCTTAATGAATTTAAGTTTTGCTTTTTTTTTTCCTGCTCTCTTTCCTAATAGGATCACTAAGGGCAAACATCTTTACTGTCTTACCTTTTCAAGCTCTTGTTTACAGTAGCTGTTAATTTATTATATCAAACTGTTAATATTCCCAATCACATTAGAGCTACAGAACAATATGAAAAAGGAAGTGATTTCTGGCCCGTTGATGAATGTAGTAGTTTGCCAGTTGGCACCATCAACCACAAGTACTTAATAAAATCATCAAAAGGGATTAGTCAAGCTTTTCTTAAGGGGGTCTTAAGACATGTCTGAAGCTTTCATACATGCTTTTTCATTCAACTATATTTAAATGCACTTTCCTCCAGTATTAAAGTCTGTATTTATATCCCAGTAAGAATAGGGTATAAACTGGCACATTTATAAAGGTATGTGCTGCAAATTAGCAATGAACCAGTCGCTTTTTTTATTAATGCATCGAAACTGCCTGTTTTCTCTCTCTCTCTCTCTCTCTCACAGAAACACATGCTTGTTTTCATTTTTTCAGACTCTCTTTGGTACCCTATGATAGAACTGTAGTCCCCTGCCTTCCAAACAAATCCACCAAAAACTGATCAAGGAAGAAGAACCGTGAAAAGGTGAAAGCTGAGAATGAGAATTTGAATCTGTGATTCAAATAAACAGGGAAAAGGGAGAAGAAAAATCATCATTTGAAAAGTCATAAGGAGGAAGGTAGGCTTTCAATTAGCTTCCACGTTTCTGTTCCTTTCCCTTCTCTCCAGAACCAGTTTTTTCTGCAGTAGCAGATGGACAGAGAATGTAGCCTGCAGCACCGTCCTGTGACAGCCTTATTCTCCCTTCCAGACACTGCTGTTAGTAAATAGATTTACACATTCTCCAATCTCCACACATCTTTCTGCCGAATAATTAAAAGCAGGATGATTAGTTTATTGAGTGGAAGGAGGAACTTTTTTATTGAGGTCCATCCACGATTTTATCAGGGCTAGCACTTTTACGGTTGTCATGAGGGTGCAGGCATCCAATTTTTCTTATCTGCCTGATTAATACAAACGCTGTTTCAGGACGCATTAATTAACAGATACAAATCTACGTTCTCATGGAAGGATCAATACAGAGAAGAAAAGAGGCATCAATGTGAATTTAGTGCTGATGATGGAGAAGGCACTCTATTGACATTTACGTGCATGGAAACTTTAAAGTTGCAGTAGAGCCCTTTTGTCCCTGTGATTTACAAATTAACAATTTTTCAGCCATAACAATGTTTCACACACTTCTGAGGGGTTTAATTAAGCAAAAGGCAATAAAATCAGTTTTGATTACAAAAAAAGTTTAACTTGCAATTCATCTTTTTATTTTTCTCAAAGCTCTCAACTATCTTCTTATTTACTTATCTTCTTTTGTAAAAGAACTTTCACAAATTCAGTTTGTTTCAATACGAGATTTATCATGTGTCATAATCAAAGGAAATTGCATACAATCTCTGTGAAGAAAATGAGGTTACTGCCTGTGATGTTCTGTGCTATATTTATGAAGAATGCATTTTCTGCAAATAGATTTTTCACAGGAAATGCTGAAATATTAGCCCAAATTATTATGTCATAAAGAAACTGACCAATAGAACAGTTTAATTATTCCTAATAAAACAAATATTCATGAACATTTCCTACTCTGTAAAAAGCAAACTTTTGCTTGAAAATCTGCTCAGTGAAAGCATATTTTAACTCTTAAACTCACCCCTTCATAGGAATGTAAAGTTCCATCGTGTTGCACCTATGCTATGGAGTGGTGGGTTTGTGTTTGTTTGGTGTGGGTGTGAGGTTTTATTTTGGTTTGTTTTTTGGGGCAAGAATATTTGAAAACATACAGCATGCCTAAAGTACAATACAATTGTCCTTTCACTGGATAGTCAGCATATCACAGTAAGTGAATGGGTTAGGGATATGCCTTTACATAATGAGATCTTTTAAAAAAAATTGAGATCCCTATTTCTTTAGCTCAACAAACTTTGATCCTGATCCTCCAAGCTTTACTCACATGATCACTCTCTTCTTATGTTCCAGCTCCTTCTTCAATGAATCAATCAGGACCAAAATGTGTTCTAAATTTTAAAAAGTTCCAAAATGTGGCCTTCTATTTGCAAATATAGGAACACTTTGATGAAAAACATATTTAATTATGCCTAATATCTAGACGTAGCGACAGCATCAGTGTTACTAACTGAAGTCATGATAAACAGACCTATGAAGTGTTTCATTAACAATACTACATTTAAAATGTAATTATTTGAAAAAATAAATCCACAAACTCTACATAAATATCTCTCCAGCTATCTGGACTAGTTACCTGCTTCTAGCTCACAATGGTGAATTCTTTTCTAGTAGATATAAGAGGTTGCATTATGGTTGTGTTGCTGAACTTTTTATAGTGTGTTGTGTGGGTCTTTAATCTCTGGTGTTTGACAGGTCATAGTTTAAAATGTTCAGCTGTATTATGGCTTTTTAAAATGCACTTATACCATGGTACTTTTCCTCCCTCCTTCCCAACCATTCCATGCATATTGGTGACAACTTTGATCTCTCTTCATCTCCTTCCCCGAGTCAGTGCCATTTAATGTATCTCAGGCATTTGCTAGCAGAGTGACTCTGTACCTTGACCTGCAGTTAAATAGCATGTTTATCTGCAATACAGTGTGCTCCAAATAAACCAGATGACAGTCTGAAATAACGTCATTTGGAAGGATTGAAAAGCTTCTCAAGAATCAGGTACCCCTGAGGTAATAAGCTTGAAGGAAGCATGTTTTGTGCCAACCCTCCTGCCATCTTCTACTAGACACTCATGTGCTTGACAATGATGCCATGGGCACTTGTCAAGATTTTTTTTTTTTTTTTTGCCTGGCAAACTGATGCACTTTGCAGTCAACTTACAAAAAAGGCTAAGCATTTGAAAGTGTGAAGGGCAAAAAATATCTGACGGCTAGTCTTCAAAAATACACTTTCATTTCAGAAAGTATAAATGTTTATTTCCTGAGCTGAGTGTTGACAGAAGTAGGCTGCAGTGCAGGCATATGAATTTAACCCCTGGTAGGCATTCGTTTCAGTGCCATTTTTATATAGCTGAGTGCAAGCATTTTAAATCTACAGTGTGTCTCATAATATCAGTTAGCAATGGGATTGATTTGCTGGTTACAGTATTTTGCAGGAGGAAGGAATGCAATGTTTCTCCCTCTAAAATAGTGACTTTTCAACACACAGTATATCACACTCAAACTGTAATTATGCCATAATGATTCACTGGGATCACTAAGTGTACATTCAGAGAAGGTTGATTGAGCAACTTAGCACATACTTGATTTTTCCTTTCACATACAAATAAACCTGGTGCTTAGAGGAAGTGAGGAATAAATAGGTAACAAAGGACTTAGTGTTTTATTATGTGTACTTCCACTAACAAGGAGCTGAACTATACTACCCACAGTATTAGGATTTCTAAACCATGGTTACATACAGATTTAGCTGTCTTTGAAATGGGGCTTTTTAATCCATTGCTCTCTTCAAATATCGGCACATGCACCACTTGCTTTCTATTTCACATGCACACAGCCCCATGCTGAGCAGGGTAAATCTTTTATATTCCTGAAGACCCTTTCCTCTACTTCATTAAGATGGACTTCATGGACACTAATTCACTAGGGGCTAGAGTGAAGCAGCTGCAGATGGTCAAGTGCCAAAGCAAGATCTGTAGCATACACCAAGCAAAATAAGAACTATTTTACAAAAAGTACATCTACAGTTATCTCAAGCCATTATTTTCAGCATTAAGCATTTGATGCCTACCCCAGGCTACTGCTTCTTGAACCCTGGTTTCTTTTGATTCACATTATACTGAATTTATTACATCAATATTATTGGTTTATAAACCAGGATTGTTTTTAGTGAATAGCAAAGGGATTGACAAATCTGGAATGTACTGATGTTTATTGACAATCTGTTAAGTTTCTGAGCAAAATATTCATCCAGTTTTCAATGTATTATACTTCAAATATCTTCATTTACATTTTTATAATCAAAGCTGTGCTTTAAAATGACATGTTCACTAGTGTGTTGCAAATTCAATGTATTTCCACAGTTGAAATATCAGAGTTTGGATTCTTAAATTATTCATCCTTAATTTTGATAAATTAACTTCCTTCTAAATGTTGTGTGTGTACTGGGGTTTTCAGTGCAATTTCCTCATTTCTAAAATGATGCATATTCACCAT